AAAAAAAAAAAAACCCTTGCAGCAAAATATTAAAGTGGAAAAGTTTAAGCATGCAATAATGCTATATTTCTAATTTATTTGGACACTGCATTTGAAGTGTTTGTGATAAACGGTAGTTTCCAGATTCCAAACCAAACTCTCCATGTTACTGGTAAAACAGTGAGCAACAGTAACTACATTTGGAGATGTGAAACAGAAAAATAAGGATTGGGAAGCTTTTTTAACATTGATTTTTTTCCCCCACATGTATTGGTAAAAATAAAGAGACCATCCATAACTTCTATATGAGAATAGCCTTGTGGGAATTCATCTCCAGTACTGTCAGCTACTCATTCTCCAGGGGAAACCAGAACTCTATTTCATGTGATATGCCCCAGTTCTCAAATGTTAACAATCACTTTTTTTAAAGCACTCTGTGATAAAATTATTTTGTTGTACCCTGAAAAAGGTAACCTAGACAAGATGGAGTGGGGAAGACTGAGAATATACGATGTAAATTCAGACTTCTCAATAAGAAAAGGGGCTGGGCTTCTCTGAGAGAAGAGATGCCTTTTCTTATTCTCACAAAGGTACCTGTAGACAGTAGTAGCCTGCTTCTTTGCAATCTCTGGATTAGACAGCAGGATTTCTGGTCAAGATGGAGGTACAGGTAGACCCACCTACTCACACAACCACATAAATTACAACTAAACCTCAAAACAAATAACACTCAGAACTGTCATAAAATCTAACTGTATAGAAGTCTAACAACCAAGGATTTAAAGAAGTCACATTCATCTAGACAGGTGGGAAGGGCAGCGATGGGTGGAGAGGCAGTGGCAAAACAAGCACAGGCAGTCTTGTGATGGATAAAAATCAGGAGGGATACCTTGGGAGCCAGTGATCTCAGCCCCATAACTTCTGGCTGTAAAAACCAGTGGGGGTTTTGGCAGAAGAAGCTGTCAGATTTTCAGGCAACTCCACTTAAAGGGCCTATGTGGTCTTAGAACCTACACAAACCCACCCACTTGGGATTCACCACCAGGGCAACAGCTAGAATGGCACTAGTCGCATATAGGAAGTGGGTAAAGTGACGGGAAATGGGGTGAGTGCCAGGCAAACCTCCTAAAACCAAGCAGCAGCACTGTCCCCTTTTAGAGCCCTCCCCCCCCCACAGAACCACAAAGTGGTGAAGCAGGTTGCCCCATCCTGGCGATTACCTTAGGTTCTGCCCCATAGAATTTATAGGTGCCTTTTCTGTAACAGGCCATGCTACTAAGATAGGGAGTCAAAGCAACTCTATCTAACACACAGAAATAAACACAGGGAGGCTGCCAAATTGAGGAAACAGAAATATGGCCCAAATGAAAGAACAGAACAAAATCCTAGGAAAAGAACTAAACAAAACAGAGATAACCAACCTATCAGACACAGAGTTCAAAACACTGGTGATCAGGATGCTCAAAGAATGTATCGAGTATGGCAAAAACATAAAGGAAGAAATAAAGGTTACACTAAATGAAATAAAGAAAAATCTACAGAGAAACAACAGTGAAAGGGCTAGAGATTCAAGATTCAAAAGCTGAGATTCAAATCAATGATTTTGAACATAAGGAATAAATAAGCATTCAACTAGAACAGCAATAGGAAAAAAGAATTTAAAAAAGCAAGGATAGTGTAAGGACCCTTGGGGACATCTCCAAACATACCAACAACCAAACCATAGGGTTTCCAGAGGGAGAAGAGAAAGACCAAGAAATTGAAAACTTATTTGAAAAAAATAAAGGACACTTCCCTACTCTGGCAAAGGAAATAGACATACAAGTCCAGGAAGCACAGAGAGTACCAAACAAGTTAGACCCAAAGAGGGTCCACACCAAGACACAACATAATTAAAATGCCAAAGGTTAAAGATAAAGAATATTAAAAGCAACACAAGAAAAGCAGAGTTACCTGCAGGAGTACCCATAAGACTGTCGGCTGATTGCTCCAAAGAAACTTGGCAGTCCAGAAGGGACTGGCAAGAAGTATTCAAAATGAAGAAAAGCAAAGACATACAACCTAGATTACTCTAGCCATCAACGTTATCATTTAGAATGGAAGGGCAGTTAAAGTGCTTCCCAGACAAAATAAAGCTGAAGTAGTTCATCATCACCATGACATTATTACATAAAATGTTATCCCTTTAAGATCAAAACTATGAACATTAAAATGGCAACAAACTCACTACCACCATCAACTGAATCTAAAAAAACAAACTGAGCAAACTACCAAAACAGAAACAGAATCATCGATATGGAGATCATTTGGAGGGTTGTCACCTGGAAGAAAGGGGGAGAATGGGGGAAAGGTGCAGGGATTAAGAGAGAAGCTTAATTGGTAGGTACAAAATAGACAGGAGGATGTTATTATAGTACAGGAAATGGAGAAGTCAAAGAACTTATATGCACAGCCCATGGACATGAACTAAGAATGAGGGGATTACTGGAGGGAAGGGGACAAATGGGGAAAAATTGGGACAACTGTAATAGCATAATCAATATATTTTTAAAAAGAATTACTGCATTAAAGCTGGAAATAATTTATGTGCCATATAAGGATGACCTTTTAATTTTTTATGTACTGTATTTTCAGGGTGTTATTCTAATAACTCAAGTTGCTCATCTGCTAGGCCTTTATTCTTCCAGCAATGGTAATGGATTACACCTAGCCTTCCTATTCTGTTTAGTGACTTATCTGCAATACACCATCTTTAACAGTGCTAGGTGCCTGTGTTAACTGTGTACAGTGAGATGTGTAGTATGTCAAAGATGTTTCATGACCAACTAACAGATAGAGCCAACAATATCTTTTACTTACTTAGTTTATATACAAAGTTTTGAAAAACCTTCCTTCCTTCTTCCAAGATTTTGGAGAAGTTATTTGTGGAAGCAGGCCGGGCAGGGTTATGTGTCCTATGTGTATTTAAAATTGATAGCTAAGCATTTCCTCACAGGTAGATGAAAATTTCTGTAATAGTGTCCTTCCTAGAGCTTTCTAGTCTGAAAAACAAGCTGCACACTGATAGGAATGTGTCATGATATTTAGTGTATCACAATGCGAATAAGCAAATCTGGTTTCTAATATAATTCCTACTATGTAGATATTTTCTAAGGTTGTTCTAGTTCTTATGAAAATTGCTTCAAGTAAAATTCATGCTTACAAAATCAACCATTGGTATAAGGACTGGTTTAAGACTTTTAAAAATTTGATAAAATGTCAAAATACAAAATTAAGTAGTTTCCTAGTGAGGTTTTCATACCATAGTAAGAACACACAGTAGATATCACTGGCACACATGGACTATCTGGGAACTCTCTAGTTATTAGAAATCGAATTGTGGCACAGAAATATGCATTCTGCTTCCAATGCTACTCTGCTCCTAGCTACTTTCTCAAAATCCTTATCGTCAGCTCAGTAGGGTTTGCTATAAACAGTTTGTGTCTGTGATACAAAGTATTAATTGGTCCTTTAAAAAAATTAAGACTGGATAAAAAAAGCAGTGGAGAAAGAAGTCTTCATCAAATGTTTAAAATTAAATAAAAAGATGTTTACTATCTAATCACTTCAAAACCACTTTAAAACTATTTTCTTCAATTTATATTTAAGTGATGTTATAGCAAAATAAGATAAGCATACATGACTTTTATCTCCATTAAATTTACCTACTAATAACCATCTTAAAGGGGCACTGATGTCTAACCACTATGCTGTACACCTGAAACTAATACAAAATAATATTAAATGTACACTGTAATTTTAAAAAATTTTTTAAAAAGGGGGGACTGAGAAAGATAAAGAAATATAAATTAAAGGGTTTTAAAAGCAGATGTAATGAAGATGAAAAAACTGTACATCAATGTCTTATGTTGGCTGACTTCTGTTGCTTAGTGGGAGAAGCTAGGTCTGCCACCCAGTGGCAACATTAAGTTTTTAAAAATGATTTTAAGATTTAAAGAATTAAAACAAAACCATTTAAAATAAAACAAATTAAAAAACCCAAAAACTTCATGAATTGAGTGACTTCAATTTTAACATCTGTAGTTCTGGTGTATTAAATATCTGCTTATAATGTATTAAGAATAGAAACATTCATTTGCTTAGGCTATACTGGGAAATTTTAAAAAATATATGACTTCCAACTGCTTAGAAGTTTTATAGTTTTGGTAAATATTTTAAATTAAAATACTGAACGTTGCTTTGCTTAAATTTAAATCTACAGAATAACGAAGGAAAAGTCTGTGATCATAAAATACAATGGTTTTCTTCTGTAACCTGCAGAAGTAGATTCAAGACTCTATAGCAGCTTCTTGTTCATACACACCAACTTCTGCTTGCTAAATAAAAACATAACAGAAGCACTTGCAAAAGTAAGATTTAAACAATACCTTTCTCTAACTATGAGCACATCCCATCTTTTCCTCAGGTATACATCAATTTTAGTGTCCCAGTGAACAGAACTCAAAGCTGAAAGAAGGAAATTTAAATAGTAGAAATACTATGCCCGATAATGACTGATGTTTTGGCATAGGGGTATGGGGAAACCAAGTATCTCATTGCCTCCTACTTCCCCCAAACTTGGCTATAGCTTCTTATCTTACATTGGCACAGATATATTATATCTATAATATAGGATGCTCTAGTAAAATAACACGAGAAAAAAAAACACTACAGCCTCCATTTACAGTTTGAACATTGCTTTGTTCTCTTGAATAACTAAATGAGAAAGAAGGACCAAAAAGAAAACAATTCTTAGAAATGTAGATATTTTTGTTTCTAACAGTTGTAAATTCAAATTGTATAAGATATATTTTCTAGGCTATGTCCCATTTGTTTTGAATTACAGTGAAGACAATGAATGAATTTTTAAAAATAATGTCAGACACAACATACCTGATTTGATATTTATAATGGCTTGTGACAAATACCTGAAAATAATTTCTAATTTTCCATTTATTATTGCTATTTAGTCACAAAAAAGATTAACACTCTCCAAGAAATTTATTTTAGCATATGCCATATATTGATATAATTTTACATGAAGAAAAACCATTGAGGAAGTGACTAATATGGTGTCCTTACAAGGAAATAAAGAAAAGGCAATATAAGAAATTCTTCCATATAAAGACATTCGATCTGCATCATTTTCTCAAGATATAAAACCTTAATATTAGAAGCAAAGAGAAAAATAGTAAAGAAAACAATAACACAGAAGACCAAGGAAAAGAAATTGCTTATGCAGATGGGTTGCATACATAGTATATATATGTATGGGCTGAGTTATAATAAAAATACTTATGTATTATAGTCAATTCTCATGTAGAGTTAGAAACAGCAATATCCAATCAAGCATGATTGTACTGACGTTTTCTCAGTCTTCAGTTACATGACGAATTAGAGCTGTGCAACAGTCACTTCTGGTCAGCAGTATCATGATAAATGCTTGATAAGATATAATTTTTCTCCTTGTTCACTTGTAAAAATTGGTGCTTTTTTGTAATGTTCTACAAGTTCTTCCATGGTGCTGAATTTACGCTGCCCAATGCAGTAGACAGTCTCTTTTAGCTGGACTTTAAAATGCTTGTTTTTCCCTTGTGCTTTTAGTGATACTGAGAAATCATTTGGCTAAAAAAGAAAAAAAAACATGTAGGGTAAACACTTTGAAAGACATCTATTAGCATTTTTATATTAAACTAATAATAGCTAGAATATCAACACTAAGTATTAGGTATTATATGTTAAATTATTTATGCCTCAAAACAAGCTCATTTTAAAGGTGAGAAATAGAGGCTGAGAGAAGCTAAATTGTCCAAGATCATCTATGTAGTTAACAGGATTCAAATCCAGTCAGACTCCAAAGTCTCTTAACTAATATGTTCTACCTAACACAACAGCAAATCCTTTAGTTTGACATCTGAAGCACATCTAGAGCTATTATTATCTCCTCTCCAGTCAGACCACTAGAGAAACACATAAGAAAATCGAAGACATCCACCCCTTTTCAATTAGTACCCAACAGCTAAGAGTAGCTGAAATAATATTCTGAATTCTCAAAGATGAAAGACAAAAATGTGAAATAATGTGAACACTTATGAGAGGTCATAAACTCAAATGCCTAAACAAGACAAAAAAAAAAGTAAACAAGTGACAGGGTGGATAGACAGAGGGAACTACAGTGTTCTTCCTCCCTATCATCAACTACCTGATCTTTCTGGGGTGTTATATGCATGTATAGGCCATATTTCCTGAACCTCACATTGGCAGTTCAATGACTCTCTAGCTCCTCTCTCTTTCCTCCCTTACACACACACACACACACACACACACACACACACACACACACACACACTTGAGAGATTTTCTTCTTTCTTTCAACTTTTTGTACAATCACACATTCACTTTTGTTCAATTACACACAAAGCCAATATTAATCATGATTTGAAAAGTGAAAACACAGTGGTATCCTTTATCAAGGAAAAATAAAGGCCACTTTTTAAGGGAAATGAATAACATCAAATTCTAATATTCTATACAGTACCTAAAGAGTCCATGTAACTATTTTATTATTAAATTTTTATGCTTTTATAGTTTTACTGTTTTATTAGTATTAGAGTTTTATTAGTTTTAGAATAAAATTTAACTTTTATTACAAATGCATTTTAAATACTGTGAAAGGTTTTTAGGTACATAAATGTCTATCCAACTTCAAAACAAGCAATTTATGAAGACATTAAATATCAACTTTTAAAATTTAAAAATTTCCTTTATTATATGGATGACAGTACATCTAATATGTAATTTAAGAAATGTTTTCCCAGTTTTGTCTACTGCACTGTTCTACTCTCAGTGAAGAAGTCAATGTTATATTTTCCCAGTTTTGAGTTTAATGCAACAAACAAATATTTCAGGAATGAAAAACCAATAGAACTAGACAAGGCCAAATAACCCAGTTTAGTATCACTGCTAGGGTTATATTTTATTCAAAATAAAGAAAGTTGGAAAGAACATTGACTTTAGCTTCAGAACACTTATAGGGAAGCCAGTTGATCTCTCCAATTTTCTATTTATTTTTTTCAATACCCAGAGCTTTATTCCCATTTTCATTTGAAAACCAACTTACCGAAGACTCACTATCACGAATGAGGAAATCACCTTCGTGCCCTCTTTCATTTAATGCCATTTCTGCTTGATGCCTGGTGACCTTCCCATAATACCAAGGATTGCCAGCAAACTTTCCAGTGAGTGAAGGCCTAATATAATCACACTGTGGAGGTGATGGTTCCAAACCTGAGGTTAAAGGATTATTCTGCATAATGGTAACATAGTTTTTTGGCACCAGACCAACCATTCCATTGGTCTTCCTGCACTTCCACCACTCAGGGTCATTTTCAGGTTTTTCAATAACATCCATTACATCTCCTTTCTCAAAATTAAGTTCTTCATCATTGGATGAGCTGAATGGGTAAAGAGCTTGTACCACATGCAACACTTGCCCAGTATTTAGGTTATTGACGACTGCTGCTAATTTCTCTGACAGAGAACCCACATGGTCACCCAAAGGACTGTCACCTTCCTCAGTTACATAGTTTGAAGGGAACCATCCAACTTGTCCATTGTAGCTACCACGCCACCACCCATCACTGCATTTCTCCATGACGATCACCTTCGTCCCTTTTATCAATGATAATTCATCCTCTCTCTCTGCCATGTAGTTAAATTTCACATATGCAGGCATGTTGAGGTCATAAAGACGTTCCCCTAGGTCAACAGAGCTATCATCAGCAGGAGATGCAGAATCTGGCACACTGGGTTTTCTTTTGACTTTTCCAATGCCTGTTCAGATTGAAAAAAAAAAAAAGTAATGAGAAGAGAATGTAAAACAATGATAACCTAAAAAAAATTTATTTATTATTTTTTAAAAAATCTTCAACTCAGCCCTGGCTGGCATAGCTCAGTGGATTGAGCGCGGGCTGCAAACCAAAGTGTCGCAGGTTCGATTCCCAGTCAGGGTACATGCCTGGGTTGCAGGCCATGACCCCCAGCAACCACACACTGATGTTTCTCTCTCTCTCTCTCTCTCTCTCCCTCCCTTCCCTCTCTAAAAGTAAATAAATAAAAAATCTTAAAAAAAAATCTTCAACTCTAGTTCTCTTAAGCCTTAAACTTAAACAGATTTCTGTTTCTCTTTTTTCTTACCCCTCCTTCCCTCCCCTCCTTTCACTCTCATGACTAATTTATTTTATAACTATATATTTGTACCTTTTGCCCATCCCCTTTACCAATTCTCTTTTTATAACCAAACACTTAACTGCAATTATTACTTGACAGTTCACCTCATCTTTTTTCTTGTCGAAAGCCCTGAAATAACTGCATAACTATAAAGTTGTCCTAAACTAACACATTTTCTCCTAAATGTAAATAAATTATTTCCCTCATATCTACAATCCAAGTACATAAAGGTCCAAAAAACCCATCTTATTTTTCAAATCTAGATTTTATAATTAGCTGTACAGAAATAAAAATAACAACTTACAACTTGATATATGCAATATAAAATTATAGTTTTGTCTGGGTAATATTCTCATTTGCTTTCTTCCAAGACCCAGGTTGCTCTATTTATTTCATGTTTATTTAAAAATAATAAGTTATTTGTTTGCCTCCCTCACTCCATTCACATGTAAGCTCAACAAGGGAAGGGATTTTTATTTAGTCTGTTCATGTATATAATCCTAAGCATCTGACAATAGATGCTTAATAAATACTTGTTGAAAAACAAGAGAAAACCACCAAATGGTATACCATCACAGATGTATGCAACATCGTCACTAGTCAAGCATTTTCCCCACTGCTCATTTGTTTTTATTTTTTATTTAATTTTAATCCTCAGTTGAGGATGTTACTTTTAGGGAGGGGAGCAGAGACAGAAGAGAAAGAAACATTGATGTGAGAGAAGCATCGACTGACTGGCTGTGTCCTATAGGTTCCCTAACCGGGAACTTAACCTGCAACCATTTGGAGTACTGGATGACACTAAAGTAAGCGAGCACCCAACCAGGGCACCACTACTCATTTCTGAGCATGTGATTTTGTGTTCTACTTTTACCAAGAAAACTATTCCTAGGTAAAATTTCTCAAATACTTTCTCTCTCTCAAAACTTTCTTGTTACTCTCTTCTTTTTTTCACCTAAGTTTGTATCCTTGTAGGTTCTTAATATCATCTTTACTGCCTCTTTTATGACTCTTGGCCATCCTTGTTTCCTCTTTACTCAATCTCTTCTATTCTCTAAAATCAACACTCAGATGGCTTCTACTCTAAAATAAAGTTACTTCACCTCCGCTACTCCCTTTAAAATACGCCATTATTTAAAAAGTGGTCTTCCCTTTTTCCTTCAACTTTTTCACCACTTACTCCTAACTCCTTTTAATATGGTCATCTATCTCCACATCAAAACTACTCAATTTAAACCATTCTTATGAAAGTGTGTCATCTCCTCCATGCCAATCAGTATCTTTTAGAGTCCTCAGTCTTTTCCAACTCTATGCAGCAACCGATATCTGATTACTTTCTCCATCATTTTCTCCTTTAACTTCTGTTTTCCCTACTGACTTGTTTAAATATTCTTGTGTGTCTTTGTCTAAGCTCCTCTCAATCTTGTTATAAAACTGCATTCTATTTGTTTACTTGTCTATCTCCTTACTAAGAGAACGAGCTTCTTGAGGGCAGAAAACTGGATCTTACTACCTTTTATCTCCAGTGCTTGCCAGTACCGACACTAGCAGTAGGAACAAAGTGAATGCTTGTGGAATGAGTAAGTGAAATGATTCCTTGTCTGAAAATGTTTCCTAAGATGCCATGCTTGGACTTCCCCTTCACTTCAAGGAAATCATACTTTCCATTCTTTGTAACTTCTGTGTAGAAGGTTCCAAGGTCTCTTTGTAGCTCTAGCTTTTGAGAATTCAAACACTATAATTCCAATTGTCATTAGACATCTACAAATTTTATCATCAGCACCTCAAATACAAATACCATGTTCAAATAAAATATCCATAAATCAACTCCCTCCCTCCCAATTTCCTTACTTCTGGTTAATGGCATATCATCATCCACATCGGGGGTTTTTACGGAGTAGAAAACTCTAGTCTACCAACCTTCTAAAAAGAATAATTAATGAGGTAGCAAATACTATCAGAATCAATTTTTGCACAACTCTGAAATCTAGTAAAAAACTTATAAAAACTAGGGCAAGGCTTAGTGAAAAAAGAAAGTTGTGGTATTTTAAGTTGCCTGCCAACCATCACTTATATCCCAAATCAGCAGTGGCTGTGAGAACAATAATCTGCACTCCTAATGGCAGAAGGAGCACCACAGATCTTATTCTCAAAGAACTGTAATTGTGGGTTTCAACCTATTTCAGCTACCTGAAGGACCAGCACAATGACTTGCCTTGGTTAACCTAACTTTGGAGCATTCCAGGGTTCGAGCATCTTTGCTGAAATCATTTAATTGATACAGCAGCCTGGGGCAAGGAACAATTGGGACATGGGACAAACACTGAAAACCCTAGGAAGGAAGAGTATAGGTAAGGCTGTATCTGGGTAATAAGAACTTTTACTTTTTAAAGATTTTATTTATTTATTTCTAGAGAGAGGCAAAGGGAAGTAAAGAGGGAGACAAACATCAATGTGTGGTTGCCTCTGTTATGCCCTCAACTGGGGACCTGGCCTGCAACCCAGGCATGTGCCCTGACTGGGAATAGAACCTACGACCCTTTGGTTCGCAGGCTGGCACTTAATCCACTGAGCCGCACCAGCCAGAACTGGGCTTTCAAAAGATCCTGTGTATACCAGAGAATCAGGATTGCCACAGACATAGCTGGGGCTGGGCACATGTTCAGGAAAGGCCCGAGAAGGCCCTAAACTCTTACCTTTGGTTGACCTTCATGATCTGAAGAAGCAGTAAGTAAAGACTAAGGAAGAGTTACAAATGGCCTGGCTAAGTGTTGAAAGGATATTTTTCCCCTTCTCTTTTGGTTCCAGATGTTTAAGTAAATTGTCAAAACACTAGTTAATCAATAAGGAAACAAAACGAACTTCAGTAGCCACACATGACAAAGAATAGATGTTACAAAAATAGTTTAGAAAAGTTATGTAACAAGCAAACAATAAGAACACACAGTAAGAAGCAACAATAAACCCTACAGAAGGGGTAGAATGTGAAAAAACAAAACAAAACAAAACAAAAACCTATCAATCAAAAATTCTATATCCATCAAAATTGTCCTTTAAAACTAAAGGAAAAATTAGGACACTCCTAGATAAACAAAAAGTGGAGGAGTTTGTTATACTAGACCTGTGTTATAAGAAATGTTAAAACCAAAAGAAAAGTTTTCCAGATTGGAAGGAAAGGACACTTTCCAGAAGGAAAGGACACTACACAGTAACTTGAAAAACATGAGAAAATAAAGAACAATGATAAAGGTAGCTACATTTGTAAGTATAAAAGCCAGTAGTATTACATTTTTCACTTATAAGTCCTCTTTTTTCCCATATGATTTAATATGCAAATATATAAAACAATAATTTCAAATCTAGGTTAATGTGCACATAATGTATAAGATGGAACTGTAAAGAAGAAGAGTTTTAAATACCATTAAAGCAAAGTTTTTATTAATTCAAACTTGACTGATAAAAATTTAAATTATAATCCCCAGAATACTCAATGAGGAAAAAAGAACTAAATTAAAAAAATATATATATATATATACACACACATATACACACATATATATAAAAATTAGAAGAGAAAAAAATGGTACATCAGAAAAATATAACTTACAAAAGGCAGTAATAAAGAAATGAAGGAGGGAAAAGGTATAAGACACACAGAAAACAAGTAGCAAAATAGCAAAACGCTTTTCTTAATAGTAATTACTTTAAATATAAATGGATTAGAATGTTGGATTAAAAAGCAGAATAGATTAAAACATAATACAACTCTGTGCTATTTACAAGACACTTTAGATCCACAGATGCAGATTTCAAAGTGAAAGAATGGAAAAAGATATGCCATAAAGACAGTAGCTAAAAGAGAGCTGAGATGGTTATATTTATATCAGACAACAGACTCTTAAGACAAAACTTGTTACAGGAGACAAAGAAGGACATTGCGTATTGTTAAAAGAGTCAGTCTATCAAGAAGATGTAATAACTGTAATTATATACACAACCATAATACAGCCCAAAGACACATAAAGCAAACACTGACAGCATTAAAAGGAAAAATTGACAGTCCTACAATATAGGAGACTTCAATACCTCACTCTCACTAATGGATAGAACTAGACAAAAGATTAAGGAAATAGAGGACTTAAACTAACTAGAGCTAACAGATGTATACATCTGTATATATGTTATATGTATATGTTATATACATACAGTATATAACAGATGTATACGGTATACAACGGCAGAATACACATTTTTCTGCAGTGCACATGAAACACTCTCCACGATAAAATATATATTAGCCCCAATATATTTAAAGAGAGTGAGATCACATAAAATCTTTAAGCACATTGAATGAAAATAGAAATCAGTAACAGAAAGGAACATTTAAAAATTCACAAATACAAGGGGGAACCCCTCCAAAAAACAGAAATATCTTCTGGAGGGTGGGCACCTTGTAGTATAGGCTTCCCCTGCTAGGTTAAGTGTTCTAGGAACCTATCTGTATCAATGTACCACCTGGCATGGTTGTGAGAGGCTGGGTACAGATTCAGTGAATTTTTTTTGAAGGCTCTTTCAGTGCATTTGCACATTTCATAATAAGCAAT